TCCCCCAGGTTCTTCCTTCCAAGGAAATGTGAGGGTAGTGGGACCTGGATGCTGCATTTTCCACCGTAGCAGTTGGTCTGGACCAGCCACAGCCTGGCTGTCTGGGCTGGTCTGCTGGCTTGGGAATAGAATAATGCCAGGGGCCTCCCCAGTAGAGAAGCTCAACAATGCAGGTATGTATCCTCAACTTATCTAGACATTCAGATTCTAAGGATACTGGTAAGAAGACTATATGCTGTAAAAATTAAGATGAAAAATACCCAAATACAAAAGAACATTATATTGGCTAATTTCAGATCTGGAAGCTCCATTTCTGCTTTAGCTGTAGCCTCTTTTCTATTAGTCTTTGTGATGGACAAGATGTGGCTACTAGTTTAGCCCCTTCATATTAGCTCCGCTAATTCTAAATGAATGGCATAGATATTAATATGAAGGACACTGTTATTTTAAGTCTGTTAGTTGTGGAAGAGATGTGCGTTAATGCAATTGGTGCTAAATTCAGGGCAGTCCAATTTTCCCAATAAGGTTTTACTTTCTCAGTCTGGGGACTAACCTTGGGGAGGAGCCAGCCTCTCCTGAAATCCCTCCTTCTGTTTCCTTGTGTAGCCAACATGATCTGATTAATTCTCAATCAGATGAGCAAAAGCCACTTGAAGAAAGATGAAAATCTTTGCCACATTCTTGTGGCCACAGTAATATACTGTACGAGTGCACATGATCAGTAATTTTGGGACTGTGCCCTGGAATGAGGCCTGGTCTTGAGTTTCATATAAAAACGGACCACTGTTAGGCACGAGGGATGCCCCCCTCTCTTCTGGGGTCCGCTAGGATTTGTGCTATGGTAGGAGAGATGACATAGAAAATGACAACATAAAAAAGGCACGAAATATTCAAAATGTGGGAGGAGTCTACCAGGCCACCCAGTCACACATAATCCTCCTTGTTTTTGCTCTGTTCAAGAGTCATCATCATGCAAAGGTGCCTAAAAAACAAGACTGGCCAAACTCTAAGCCTGGCCTTGATTGTAGCAGTAATGGATGGGCAAGCCCATCATCACACCAGTGTGATTTCCACATCTTCAATCTTCTCTGCTGGCCTTCGGTGATTCTGTGTAGGTGGAGGGGGAGCTGCCCGGACCTGAGCAGGAAACAATTATGTAGACTGTCAATCAGTTCCTGACTCAGTATCTGAAGCATTCCCAAAACCTAATCACTTACCTAAGGACATGGGCAGCCTAGGGGTCTCAAAAATGCTGTAAGCACATGCTTTACTCTTCACTGTTTCCTACACTGAGAAGCAGTTGTTCTTAATGAAATGTCAAGCCCACAAATCAGCTTCTTGCCTAAGCTAAAAACCTCATGGGCACAAGAGTCCCATGACTAAGATTCTAGCACATCGTCCAAACCAAAGGTCTGGTTGGAAGCAAGGGAGAGTAACACTTAGAGAAATAAAACATTTTAGCATGTCTTGGGAGAAGAGTTACAAAAGACAAGGGTTAAGTTGTAAAGGGCCTTATTAAACCATGTTTAAAAATCTGTGCTTTAAGAAGAAAAAAAAAAACCTAAAAGAAAATCTGTGCTTTATTCTGTAGGCAAAAGAGGAGTTTTTGGTGGATTTTAAGCAATATCAGATCTGTGAAAAGATGACTCAGGTAACAACTGGAGAAAAGATCAGAGGCAAGCAAGAGTTCAAGTAAGAAGCCAACTTAGGAGACTTTTGTAGTCCTCTGAATGAGAGTTGACAATAGCCCAAACTAGGGTACTGGCAGTAGGTAAGTAGAGAAGTGGAAAGATTTGTGAGCTGTCTGCAAGGTATACCTGGTAGGATTTCGGGATGACTGTGGGAGGCAGGGCCAGGAGGTATTAAGAATGATGCCAGAACACCAGTAGGATGGGGAGTTCCATTTACTAAGATTGGCAATATGGGAGTAGAAAATGTCTGGGAAGGAACATAACTCATTCTTGCTGAGTTTTGGGGTTCTGGGACATATAAACTAAGACATCCACAAATCTGAAGCTCAGAGAAGAGATTGGATTGGCAGTTATAAATCAGATTTGCTGATATATAAATGGTTAACGTAGCTGTGGAAGTAGATGAGGTCACTTGGCAAGAGTGCTTTGAATAACTTCAAGAGAAGTGGCCCAGGGACAGAACCACGAGAAGAATCAGCAGAGATGGGTGGAAGCCAGGCTGCAAACCACAGAAAGGTAGTACCAGAGAGGAAGAAAGCAAATGAGGCAAGTGTGGAAAGGCACATCAGTCCACTGCTCTCCATTCCCACTCTTACCTACCAGTCTACGCTGCTACCACCTCTTTCTTGGATGCTGCTCCAGCCTCCTAATCGCTCCCTATGTCCTTTCTCCCACCTCAATCCACTTAGCTGCCATAGTGATGCTTTAAAAATACGCCAGCCACAACACCGGGCTTACCACCTTACAATGGCTTCCGATCTCATTTGGGATAAAGACTCAAGTCCTTAACAAGGCATTCAATACACATCTGCTGAATGAATGAAGCCAAAGGAAGCCAGTGGTAAAGGAATGGTATAAAAAGCTAATAGGTCAAGGAAAATAAATTGCAAAGTATCCAAATGGATTACCAATGTGAAAGTTATGACCTTGGAGTGCAGTGATGGGTGGAATGCAGATGGCAGCAGAGTGAAGGGTGAGTAGAGGTGACTTTGCAAGAATATATTCACCCTGAGAATAGACATTCTTTGAGGCCATGAAGTTAGCTTATTATTTCATCTCAATATTCGTCAAAGAGGCAAACAGAGGCCTGGAAAATTAAATGCTTACTAAAAAAAAAGTGTTTCACAATTAGCCCGCTTTAATGCTCTAAAGCTTGTTCTGATCTAAATACACTTTCTTTTTTTTTTTTGAGACGGAGTTTCGCTCTTGTTACCCAGGCTGGAGTGCAATGGCGCGATCTTGGCTCACCGCAACCTCCGCCTCCTGGGTTCAGGCAATTCTTCTGCCTCAGCCTCCTCAATAGCTGGGATTACAGGCACGTGCCACCATGCCCAGCTAATTTTTTGTAGTTTTTTAGTAGAGACGGGGTTTCACCATGTTGACCAGGATGGTCTCGATCTCTTGACCTCGTGATCCACCCGCCTCGGCCTCCCAAAGTGCTGGGATTACAGGCTTGAGCCACCGCGCCCGGCCTCTAAATACACTTTCATAGTCATCATCTTGCAATCTCACCATGGCTCAATGAAAAAAATTCCGGTGTAGATTAAATGTTCCAAGATGAGTTGATTTCTATGGCCTTCCTTTTCAATAGCTCTTTTTACCTTCCCAAACCCAGTTCATCCTTGTTTGGCAGTCAGTACACACATGTAGACAACGAGGAAACATTAATTCCTTACTTTCAATTTGGAAGAACTATGCAATCTATAATCCTGTGAGATAGGAGACTTACAGGTCGTAGTTTGCCATATGAGGTCTCAGGAGTGTGCCTTGATGCCTGTGAGAATCCTGGTGACTCAGCATGAAGGCTGTTTTCTAAGGGAGAAAACCAAAGAAGCTCATTTTACTTGAGCTGTTGAGCAATAAAAATGCTAATGCAAGGCCTGTATGGTAGCTCAAGCCTGCAATCCCAGCACTTTGGGATACTGAGGTGGGAGGATCACTTGAGGCCAAGTGTTTAATGGTGCAGTGAGCTATGACCCCCCCCCACTGCACTCCAGCCTAGGTGACAGAATAATACCCTGTCTCCACAAAAAATACGAAAATTAGCTGTGTCTGGTGGTGCATGCCTGTATTCCTAGCTACTTGGAAGGCTGAGGCGGGAGGATCACTTGAGCCCAGGAATTAGGTTGCTGTGAGCTGTGATCATGCCACTGAACACCAGCTTGGGTGACAGAGTGAGACCCTGTCTCCAAAAGGAAAAAAGAAAAAAAATGAATGCAGTTTTGTTTGTCCTTCAGGCAAATATGTAGATTTCTGAAGTGAAAATGCATTTAGACCCATGCCCAGGAAACCCTTACCGTTTGCTGAAGGAGACCGGGGAAAGTACAGGGAGCTCCTCTTATCTGGGCTGGGGTACGGGCTGCTGGGAGGCTGGTCGTACAATGGCAGTGGAGGCAGGGAGGCGTGTGGCTTGGGGGAAGGAGAGATCTGCAGCAAAGGGAAGAGAGGTTACCGGGTGCTCAAGCCCAGGAAGGAGAGCCTGGCTGCTTCTCTGACTGCTCTGTACATATCCCTTTTCTCTGAAGCAAAGCTGACTACTGAAAGTTGTCAACCTCATTAGAAGCAAATGAGCATTATTAACCACCCCAAGCCCTAATTCTGCATTGCATTTCACTTTTTCCTCTTACAAATCTCATCACATTACTGATTTTAGTTTATCTTTAACAGTTATCAAATGAAGTCACTCTCTAGGGTTCTACTGAAAATGCACCAAATTAGTCAATTCAGTAAATTTAGCAAAGAACAACAACAAAAGGGGCAAGTTGGATTTTTTTGGGTGAAGATAAAATACCTAGCACAAAACAGGTTTTATGCATGTTAGGCTAAGGGGTCACAATCACCATGGAAACAAGATCAGCAAACACGATCCTTCTTCCTCTACCTATCTGGCATGCAGTGATAGATGTCTGAGGGGGAAAAACTAAACTCTGACTGAATTAGGGGTTTCCTTTAAAGGCTGTTTCCCTGTGATAAACTAAGTCTAGCCACTTGAGTGGGGAATGGGGGCTCTAGCAGGCTCATTAATTCTCTGAAATAGATTGGCAGGACCTGGGCTAGGCAGGGAGGCTCTGACAGTGAGGAAGAGAGAGAGCCAGCTAAGAGTTTTACTACATAAATTAACCACAGAGCAATGCCTTCCCTCTTCAGTTTGTTTCTTTCTCTCCACCAGAATGATCTTTGGTATGTCACATATAATTTGGCATTTTGGTTAACCAACTCAAGGATGAGAATGTGGGAAGATGGAGGTGTGGGAGGATGGCCATATTCCACAAGGGACTGACTGACAAGTCTCTGGTTTCACAAATGCAGTTTTGCAGACACTGGCAACCAAGGATCGGTGAGGGTAAGGCAGAGACTGCAGCCCACTTTTGTGTGAGTCCATAGACTGCTTGGGAGCAATTTTCTTTATACATCTTTAAATTCAACTGTTTCTCCTCTCATGTACCTGAATCTCTCTCATCCATGGAGTGTCACCATTTTCTGAGGCTGAAAGTTCTTCCACTAGCACCGATGGAAAAACTCCAATCCGCCCATTGAATTCCCCTTCCCAGAAGCCATCGTCATCTTGGTTTTCTTTGTTCAAGATACGGATTATTGCTCCCTCAGGAAAAGATAACTCATCATCTGTCTGGCCCTCGTAATCATAAAGTGCTTTCACAAAACAGACTAGGGAGCAAGAGAAAGACAAATCTGGTAAGATAATTGACAGCTGGTTGCTTCTGCAACCACCCCTATGCTCACATGACAACTAAAAGAGCATCGTACAGAATAGGATTAAAGTTGTAATATTTTTACTCACTGATGATCAACTTTAGGGTTCTACTATACAGGACGAATGTGACTAAATAAAGGGAAGCATATTATAGGACAGGAGCAAAGTTGTGCTTTTAGGTCAAATGTGACCAAATAAAGAGTGCCTTGTTTCAGTCTTTACCACTGGCATCTCCGTTGAGGCTGCCTGAAACGAGTTCTGCTTCTGTGGAATTGCTGGACGTGTGTGACCGACTGTCCAAAGTGGCCAGGGACTGCAGCATGCTCAGGAGGCTGTTCGAGGTGGGAAACTGTAGGTACTTTTCTGGCACATAACCCACTTGGCCAACTTTATTTCGAGCCTGGGTAAAAGACATGTGACAAAACAAGTTTACACACACAATTCAGGCAGGGCACAACAAAGACCAAAACAAACTCCTAAAAATGTCACAAGAAGGGGCGATATGAGCAAAGGAATATACCTTTACCCAGTCTTCCATATCTCCATCTTCAATCACTTCTAACACCTCATGTTCCTCAATGGTCAACTCATCTGGTTGAGAAGCCTGCAATGTAGGATGGTCATGGACAAAATTAAAAAGGTTAGATAAGGAGCAGATGTGAGCTGATCATGACAAAAACTGGGGATCAAAATATTGAAATGATTTTGAAAAACATGTTGAACATAAAAATTTAAATGCTGTAAAACTATCATAATGAAGTGGAGTTTTACTTTAAAAAACTAAACAAAACCATAATAAAAACTGAAGGAAATGAATCCTCAAGAGGCAATGAGTTTCAATGAACAGAACATGTGAGCCTAGGTAACATAGCAGGATCCCATCTCTACCAATAAATAAATAAATAAAATTAGTCAGGCATAGTGGAACATGCCTGTAGCCCCAGCTACTACTCGGGAAGCTGAGGTAGGAGGATCGCTTGAGCCTGGGAGGTTGAGGCTGCTGTGAGCCGTGAGCATGCCACTGCACTCCAGCCTGGGCAACAGAGCGATACCCTGTCTCTGAACAAACAAACAAAAAAGAGCACTTCCTGGAAGCAGAGGATCCGGGTTCCAACCCCAGCTTCTGTATCAAGCTATTCAACTTGATGCATCCATTCCTTTAAAATGACAATCCTGCCATTCTCTGGATGACGTAAGAGTCAATGTGGGACGAAAAAGCATAGAACTGTGATGATTTGGGAAGCAAAGGCAAAGGAGAAGGCACTGAATCGGAACTGCTACCAGAGGGCTGCCATGGACAAGCATGCAGTGAAAATGCAAAGAACTATGTACATGAATTTGATGATGGTGGGTGCAGTGCCTAGGATTGATCTGGAATCACTGTAAAGCAGTGGCCAAAAGAAGAAAATTGTAGGAAAGGAAATGATTGAGATCAGTCATGGTTTGGATTTTTTGTGCTCCAACTTAACTGTGGAACCTGGGCTGATCCACTTGCGTTCTACTGCACAAGCTGCTAACTGTAATGGTTTCATTATCCCTGACAGCAGCAGTCCACCAGCATCAGCCACCCACATGTTGCCCTTGAGATGCCAAATCTGCGAGAAAACTCTCTGAAGCTCCACAGAGGGGCTGGGAAGGCCATGTGTCTTTGCTTCCTAAGAGCCTTCCCTGTCATGTGTGATAGGTAGGGGCTGCTGGCTTCTGGCTCTCTAGAAAACACTATTAAAAGCTTTCACCCAAGACCCAAGATCAGTTAAAACCATCACCTAAGACCATAAAGCTTTTCAAATCTCACAATCTCAAAGTGTAAAATTAACTCCAAGTTACATAAATAAAATAAGGCAAAAAAGGGGTCATTTTCAAGATTCATTTCCCATTTTATGAACATTAAAACATTTCATCAAAACCAAGATTCTGGATGTTGTCATTAGCTCCCTGAGACAGAAAAATAATATTGAGGATGGCTAACCAGTCACAGAATACACCAAGGCCAGATTTTAAATTACTTCTTATCTCAAAATATGAGGGAAAAAACCCACTCATTTACTCTTGATAGCTTTTCCAGTGGAATTGCTACACTACTCTGAAACCATACTGTGCCTTGAATATGGCAGCAATAGGCACTTTTGTAATAAAAATGTTTTCCACGGCAAGACCTAAAATGTATCAACACATCCAGACATTAATGTGTGTGACAGCAAACCAGGGGAGCTAATACACTTTTAAATATACTGATGCCCTTATAAAAAGCTATGGAGAGGCTGCATGAGGTGGCTCAGGCATATAATCCAAGCATTTGGGAGGGTGAGGTGGGTGGATCACTTGAGACCAGGAGTTCGAGACCAGCCTGGGCAACATGGAGAAACCCTGTCTCTATGAAAAATGCAAAAAATTATGTGGGTGTGGTGGTGTGTGCCTGTAATCCCAGCTTCTAGGCTGAGGCTGAGGTGGGAGGATCACTTGAACGGGAGGCAGAGGTTGGAATGAACCAAGATCCTGCCACTGTACTCCAGCTTGAGCAACGGAGTGAGACCCTGTCAAAAAAAAAAAAAAAAAAAGGCATGGAGGTCCATGTGTGTTTTTTAACACTGCAATGCTAGTTGTCCAATGTAAGCAGACATTAGCTTGATCATCCCATCCTAACGCAGTGATAACCAATTCTTTCACCTTACAAGGTCAAGTCTGTTGCATGGCAATCAAGACCCTGCAGAGTTTGGTCTCTGTGGGCCTCTTGATGCTTTGGCCCCTGCACACACTCCTGTTCTCTGCGCATACCATGTTCTGCCTTGCCTCTGTGCTTTTATCAGGTGTTCGGTCCAGCAGGCTCCATTCCCTCTTTCCTATCTGATGAATGGACTTAGATTACTGTGGGTTTAAGTCCAGCTTCAGTATGTTTTTATGGGCAAGTGACCTAAGATGTTTTTGAACATCAGTTTTCTTTTTTCCTACTAGAATATAAGCTCTATGAGGGCAGAGATTTTTGTCTCTTTTGATCAATGCTATATCCCAGAGCCTAGAAAAGCCCACAGCACTGATACATGGGAGGTGCTCAAGCACTATGTGTTTAATGAATGGGGTGTTTGATAATATCTTCCTCATAGGGTTATCGAAGAGATTACAAATAAATAAATAAATAAATAAATAATAGTAGTTAACGATTAATTTTGATTTGAGACCGAGTGTATGTTTTCCCAGACTACCCATGATGAGTAAGTTGTTCCTCCTTTTGTTCTTAAAAGGCTCTGAGCCGGGCGCGGTGGCTCACGCCTGTAATCCCAGCACTTTGGGAGGCCGAGGCGGGTGGATCACGAAGTCAAGAGATCGAGACCATCCTGGTCAACATAGTGAAACCCCGTCTCTACTAAAAATACAAAAAATCAGCTGGGCATGGTGGTGCATGCCTGTAATCCCAGCTACTCAGGAGGCTGAGGCAGGAGAATTGCCTGAACC